GTCCTCTTCTGGTGAGCACGACCTTACACTTTCATACGAAATGAAAGTCCCAGCAATAATATATTAGACTAGATTACATTGGATGGATTCGATTCTATTCAATTTCATTATATTTGAATATATCAGATCAGAGTGGAATAGAATAGAGTAGATTATATTAATTTCGATTATATTATACTATATTAGATTAGATTAGATTAGATTAGATTATACTATATGATATTAGCTTAAATTAGATTGGATTAGATTATATCACACTAGACTGGCACAGATTAGATTAGAATAGATTACATTCGATTTGTTCATATATCTACTGCCAGATTACTTGCAGTTTTTATGGCGTCTCTTCTTGTCTTGTCTACTTTTGCCTAAGATCGTTTTCCTAAACAGATGGTCTATGGAATGAGCGTGCAATATTAGTACTAATCTTGCTATGAAATCTAGCTACTTAATTCGTGCTAGTGTTAAGCATTACTTACAGATATCTTTTTTCAGAATGCACACGCTTCCAAGGATAAGAGCCAAAGACTCCACCTCGTCTACTCAACTAAAATAGTCTAAAGATGGATGTATACCAAATGAATTTATGGGCTGATGAGAAAGCTGGATATGCATCATGATTGCTTCCTCCTGACTATTATGATTTCCCAAATCAGTTGAGGGCAACCACTTGAATTAAATTTTTCAAACAGTTCTAATGTTATTTTGCATTGCTATGGCGCCCAACATGCTTAAGCTTTCGCCAATGTCCTTCTAGAAAGCGAAGCCTTTGCTTTATCCTAATAACGTGAATGGACCAAACAATACCAAATTCTAAGCCCCTGAGTCTCAGCTGCTGCTGATACCAAAGCAAGCACATGATATCGCAGTATTCGTTATATTCTTCCTGTTTACTTACTGCTGACATAAGCCCTCTAACAAACCAGGACTGCTTGCTTAATGCTTCATCGGAGACGGGAAAAGGCTTTTTGCCAGGCCATACTCTTTGTCCTCTAAGCACATCTTCATAAGGTTACTTGGTCATTTGTCAGATTCGCTTTGCTTTGAATAATATCAAGTAGGCCAACTCCTCCAACATCACTAAGCACAAGGACTTTGCGTGGCCGACTCAAGTAAAAATTGTATAAAAGAAGTGTATTCACCTTAGTTCGATTGAACTGATGAGCGATTGGTATCTGAATTTTTCCACAATCATATTAGTAGACATTAGGTTTCCATTGAATCTTGCAAAGTTTTGCTTCCAGAAAATTATTCTCATTCAGACTTGACTACATTTTTGACCTCGCCTGAACAGGATTCATCAGCACCCCCAGCAGGACTCGAATCGTGCTAGTGCGGTATATAATCTCGACACAATGTCGCGAATGTCCTTGGGTCATAAGGCGTTTGTAAAGTTTAAAGAATGCCAGGTCTTTTCCTATACCTCATGCTGTGGTGAGAGTGTAAACGAAGTCATATTTGCTATAGCAATCTGAAAAGCCTATTTAACAACTAAAAATAAGTATTTAGTCGATTGCTACAGCAAACACAAAATTTGCTTACTCGTCAATCCCACCACAAAATGTGGTGGGATGGGAAAGTGCCTGACCTTCCTTAGAATTCACATCTGCCCTGCGAACCAAGGGCTCTCGTGACAGTGGGCGTAGTGGTTACCGTGTCTAGATTATATGCCGCAATAGTATTGCTCGAGTCTCGCTTGAGGTGTTAGGGAAATTGAATATGCAATCCAACCCTGATAAGAATACCTTTAGGGAGACAAGACTATGTGAAATTCAATGGAAATGTGAGGCTTACTCATACGATTAAGAGAAAATTCAACTACCATTGCTTCACTAGCTTGATCGAACTAGGGATAAATGTAGTTCTTGTATCAGATTTGCTGCTAATCTCAGAAAAGTTGCTTATGAAATGAAAAAATATAGCAAGCCAGATTATGTTGAAATGGTCTGATCTCATTTTCGCAACTTGGTTGTTGTCACATTTCTCATTTAATGGCTTTTCTCTCTTGTCTCTTATTCCACCATCCTTGATATCATTATTCAAAGTGAGTGTTCTATTTCAATTCTTAGACCTACAGGAAATTCTCTATTAAATTCAATCTCAACACAGTTAAGACATAGTTTTTATTTATCTCTCAGAACGCCAATACTGAGGGATTTGTGAATTTTTCGTTTAGGATCTGGATTCTGTTTGAAATATGTTGCCTGTATTAAAGCAGATTAAGTCTATGCTATCATATTATTTCAAGCTGTTTAAGCGCAGATATCTTTTCTTTTTACACATAATGGACGATTATAAAAAATGAATTTTAACAACAACTAGCAGTTTGAGAGATATAGTTTAGTGAAAACTTTATGAAATAGGTATTTAGCATATTCTTATTTATTTTCAGACTTTGCTATAATAACCTCCCCTTGAGTAGGTAGTAATAACAAGTGATTTGAACTTTATTTTGGTCAGTCTTCTTTTGTTGCATCAAATTGGTATGATTTAGTTTGAGCAATTTGACCGAGGTTTCAAGGGGACCTCGGGGACTGCACCTTGTGCTGCGTCCTCTGTCGTAATTATCATGATTTTTCCCAGCATCGAACTAATGACTTGGTAAACTCCCAAGGGGAGAAGAAATCATGAACTCAACGATAGAGAACACAGTAAGGTGTACAGTTTTTGAGATCAGACCATTTGTATTCAAGCGAAAGGAGACTGTAACCAGAATAAGGAAACACCACTTTTGCTTATATGCACAATTTGATAATTGTTAATTGAAACTGTCAGATATCGTTTTTGCATAATTATTATTTAAAGTAAAGATTTTAAGTAGAAAGAACATGAATGAATTTTATAACCTATGTATTGCTATTAGTATTAGCATTATTAATTTGCATTTGAAATTGCCTCTTCGATGAGATGGTTACCTGGACATCTCATCCAGCCAGTTAGTGTTGACAAGCTCTCTCATATTATTGGTTGGGCGTATGTGAGTCATCCGAATTGCTTTGTTTCCACCACCACGAACTTAATCTTTATCTGCCCTTAAGATAGGATGCTTTCAAAGGATATCGGAGTTCAAAATGATATCTTTAGGAAGGTTATTTGGTTTCAAGCTGTATCAACAAGGGCCTTTTAGACAAAAATAATAGAGACAATGTCCATAAAAGTGCCTCGATCTTCAACGAGTTCAGAACACTCCAATATAATGGATTTTTCCAAATAAAAGCACTGCTTTTCCGGTACAAGTATGCGGACAAGAAGGAGACAAAGAGACGATCAGACAAATCGTTGTATCCCTCCACCATCATAATGCATGTATACAAATTAGCATGGTTACTTTATACTATTTAGATGCCGGTTATCTCTGAAAGTGCTTATGCAATATTTGGTCCCATTTAGGTTACAAAACAATCACATAGCGATTTATTAAATGTCCATTGAATAGATACATTGCGCGTGACTTCTCTATATTGCTGGAGTCGAGATAGAATTTGCCAGAGGATTAAAGGAAATCAATACACAATTATGCCTAAGTGAATAGGTTTTCGAGACTACCAGTAAATCAGATATATTAGTTGTATTCACCCTATTTCGTGTAAAATGATGAAACACTGGTAGTTGATTTTTCCCACAACGATGTGAGTAAGGCGGACGTTTCTTTTTAATTTTGCATAGCCTTGATTTCCCAAAAGATGTTCTCATCCAGGCACCAGTGGACTGCAGTTTAGACCTTGCATAGATCTTATCAACATCCAAAGCGGGCTGAATTCAACGCGTATATCTGATTTACTGATAGTCTCAAAAGTCTACTCACGAAAAAAGTAATGTCGTCGATTGCTATAGCAAAAGTAAGCAATTGCAACAGAGAATGTGATATGGAAAATTCCTGACATTCCTTGAAGTTCACATTTGCCCTGCGACCCAAGAGCACTCGTGACAATGTGGCCGAGTGGTTAACGTGTCAAGCTACCATTCTGCACTGTCACGGTTCGACTCCCGCTGGGGGTGTTGATAAGACCGATGCCAGGTCGAAACTGCAGTCGTCAACTTTTGGGAAGCACAAAATGACAACATCAGCTCTACTCATATCATTGTGGGAAAAATAAACTGCCAATCCTGCATGACCTTAAACGAAATTGGGTGAATACATCGAATAAATCAGTACACAATCACTGTTTTGTCGTTTATCATCAGATTCGTTTGGTTTTCTTGAATCGACTCTATGTCGTATAATACATATTTATGCCAAGAAGGAGGACTCCAAGAAATGTGGGCTAAGCCATACTGTGTTGAATGCTTCCAAGGCTACTTGAATAATTTTTTTATGTCGGAAAGTGATAGAGAGCGGTAGGTTGTTGGTGCTAGAATAGTCTAGAAACTAGGCTCAGTCTGAAATTTACCATTTCGCCTGCTCCCTCCTTCTCATTTGTAGGCTTCTTCTGCAGGCCGGCTAAACCATTCATCTGACCTTTTGCCTGGCAACCAGACCTCCGAGTTCTGCAGTGCCGGTTGCCCTAGTTGCCCCAGTGGCCTGACAACTGGTGAGCTTCCATGCTCCAGCAGCAACGGCATAAAACCAGCCGGTACAA